GATTACCATGACAAGTATTTGTCAGTAATGTGGCCACAGGGCCATAGACATCTGGGGAACCAGAGGAGAGCATCTCTGTCAATGCAAAGGATCTAGAGTTGTTCCACAGAGGAGGTAATATCTGAGTGAGCTGTGAGGAAGAGGTGTTGGCCAGTCAGACAGACAGAAGAGATGGGAGAAAAAGGATGGAGACTCTCAGGATAAGGGAGGAGCCTGAGCCGGGCGCGGTGGCGCACGCCTGTAATCCCAGCTACTCGGAAGCCTGAGCCCGGAGGATCGCTTGAGTCCAGGAGTTCTGGGCTGCAGTGCGCTATGCCGATCGGGTGTCCGCACTAAGTTCAGCATCAATATGGTGACCTCCCGGGAGCGGGGGAACACCAGGTTGCCTAAGGAGGGGTGAACAGGCCCGGGTCGGAAAAGGGAGGAGCCTGAGCAGAGATTGGGAGGCATGGTGGTGCATGGTGTGTTCATGGACAGGGAAGCACCTGGCATGGCTGAATTTGGAGGAGAGGAGTGTGGATGCAAGTGGCTGAGAGCTGTGACTTGCCATTGCTTCCTGCACCTTCTACCATACCATTTCATAGTACCTTGGAAGGTCTGGGAAGGCTTTTGAAGAAAATGTCCAAGTTAAGACCTACAGGATTAGTTGAAGGTGGTCAGAAAAGCTAGGAATTGGCACTTCACAACTATAACTGTACCTACTCAGGAGGCTTAGAGATGAGGATCATGGTTCAAAGCCAGCTGGGGCAGAAAAGTTCATGAGATCCTCACCTCCAATTAACCAAGCAGAAAGCCAGAAGCGGAGCTGTGGCTCAAGTGGTAGAGTACCAACCTTGAGCAAAAAAGCCAAGTGACAGTGTGAAACCCTGAGTTTAAGTCTCAGTACTGGTGTGTGTGCGTGTGCTCACACACACACAGAGCAAGGGAGGCTGTTGCAGTTTCCCTTACAGAAGGGAGATGGTAAGATCTGAGATGGTGGCTCACTTCAGCTGGCTCCTGCATAGCTTTCTAGATGGCTAGAGAGGAGTCTGGTGAGGCAGACAACAAGTTTTTTTCCCCAACAAGTCTTTTCCAAAAGCTCCAGCTCAGTTGTCAAGGACTGACAGGATTCTGTCTCCTCTGTTTTGTGTCCTAAACTCTTAAGTGCTGGAAGATAAGGATGGTGATATACCTGCTGAGGCCCCAAGAATATTAGCTGTGTGTTGAGCACTATGTTGTTGGACCTCTCATTAATTCCATGGTTAGTACATTTTTACAGGATTTTCTATGTTATGGATTTTTCTCAGGCTATTTTTAGACTTAAAGAAAAATTGAGAAAATACAGTAGATGGCTCCCCTGTATGCACTCTCACCAGTTTCACTATTTTACAGCTTCCACAGTTAACACTACTACTGTCAGCGTACTGTGTGTTAGTGTTATGATTATTGATGGATGCTTTTACTGACACATAATGATTAACTAACATTTAGTTTCTTAATATTACTTTTTTCTGTTGTAGTATCTCAACTTAGACAGTACTTTATTTATTTACCAAAAAAAAACAAAACAACCATCAACTTTTTTTGGTGTTAATCCTGGGGTTTGAACTCAGGGTCTGGGCGCTGTCCCTGAGCTTTTTTGCTCAAGGCTAGTGCTCTACCACTTGAACCACAGTTCCATTTCTGATTTTCTTGCCTGGGTTGGCTTCAAATTGGCAATCCTCAGATCTCAGTTCTGAGATCCTCAGATCTCAGCTAGGATCACTGGCATGAGCCATTGAAGCCCAGTTGGATAGTAGATTATTTCGTTGTCATGGCTCTTCGGGCTCCTTTGTGCTGTGATAGTTTCTCATATTTACTGATCATGATGGTTTCGAGAGATCCTAGGCAGGTATTTTGCCAGACATCCCATTAGTGGAGTGTGACATTTTTTCTCATGGCAAGTCTAGGGTTACAGGTTATTGGTGTCACTTTTATCACACAATTTGGAGTGTATGCACTGTCAACTTGACTCATGTCTGTTGACTTGGCTTTGGTCACTTGACTGAGGTGATAGTTGTCTGGGTTTTCCATTACAGTTACTCTCTCCCTTTCTTTGAAGAAACACTATGCTCTTTAGAAGTCACTACTACCCAGAACACACGTAAGAAGTAGGGTCTAAGGTCCCCTCCCTGAGTATCTACACAAGTTATTTGGAAATCTTCTGCAAGAAGATTTGTCTCTTCTCCATGTATTCGTGCACTATCTCTTGGAACGTCTTAACAATGGATTGGTACTTTTGCCACTCTTATTTCTGAGAGACAAGAAGGCCCTCTTTTCTTCTTCCCCTGGCTCATCCCAGAGAGATTTTTCAGAAGACCACTCCTGTTTCTCTGGGGGAAAGAGTGGCTTCTTCTGTGTCCATACAATGCCTTATAATTTCAAACAATTCATGCCCCATGCTCTTATTGTGCCTCTGCTTTGTGCCAGATGCTGTGCTTGGGGCTGAAGGGCAAACAGCCTCAATGGGTCACATCCTCCAGTTTTCCCCAGTGTTTGCAGCTTCCTGAGGAGAGAGACAGACTTTGTGCAACTTGTTCAAGGCTGTGCTGGAAGCCAAGCTAGCCAGAAGCATAGCCGAGTAGATTAGTAGGTCCTCAATAAATGTTTGCCGAATAGAGACCTGGTGTGTGGAGGAGAAAGGATTATTTAATACACGATCTTTCCCTGGGGATTGGGTGCTCCCCGAGGGCAGGGCCAGCCTTGATTCGTCCTAGTCTAGAGGCCGATGGGCCACGGAGGGTGCCAAGAAATCCCTGCCTTGCGAAAGGAGCCGAGTGCCACCGCGTCCTCAGGTAGAAGTGAAGTTTGCAAACTGACACAGCCCAGGAGGCCGAATCAGAAGGACTTGGTGACTGATTGGCTGGGGAGGGTGAGGCGGGGGGAGGAGTCACCCAGATGGCTCTGAGGTCTAGAGCTGAGGGACAGCCGGTGCCACCTCTGATAGACTTCGAGAGGAGTCGCTGCCAGCCTCAAGCCGCCCCGTCCGTTGGGGTTCGGGCCTAGAGCCAGGAAGTGGTGGCCTGGCCTAGGCAAACTTCTACTCCCACCCCTGTGCCCTTGTCTTTAAAGGGAAAAAAAAAAACCCTCAGCTTGGATGTTGAGCACGCTCGTTTGTTATCAGGTGTGAGGGGTCCCTCTCCAGCCTGCGGTCTTCAGAGAGGACCCCCCCCTCCCCAGGGCAGTCTCGCAGCGCGCGGGGTCAGGGTGGTGAAGCGCCAGGCCCTACCCGCCATCACCCGGGAGTGGAGGCGGCGGAGCCTGGGCGGGACAATGGCCGCGGCCGCCGGGGCCCCGGGAACCCCCGCGCTGGGGAAGGGGCTGTCCTAGGGCCGGGCTCCGGTGCCCTCCCCACGCGGCTCGGGCGAGCCGAGGAGGGGGGGTGGCGAGGAG